CACACACACACACACGCAAACACATAAACACACGCACACACACACGCACACACACACATATTCCGAGATCGCAGCGCTTCTTGCCTCGTTCTCGAACTGTTCCCTTTGCGTGGGAGCGATTTTTGTTGAGGGACGGACGTGCGAGATAATGTGGCATGCTTCAGGCAATGGCTTCAGCAGTGAACGTTTGCAGTGTGAATGTGCTGGACAATCCGGGCCAGTTCGGTGACCCGTTCAAGCTGGAGATCACATTCGAGTGCTACGAACCGCTCGCCGATGGTTGGTTTTCTTTCTGCTGTGCCACACACACACACACACACACACACTGTAGTGCACAACTCTACGAGTATGCTAATCGTCAAGAATGCTTAAGATTTGGACTGGGAATTGGTGTACGTTGGTTCGGCCGAGTCCAATGCTTACGACCAGGTGCTTGATTCAGTGCTCGTTGGCCCGGTTGGCGAAGGACGCCATAAATTCGTTTTCGAGGTAAGAAGTCGTTCGCGTCTTGCCTGCTCGCCTTTTGCCTCATTTTGCGAATTTTACTATGTAGCAGCGGTGCAAAACGCATATTGTCGATACCACCTGCATGTATATGTGCGTGTGTGTGTGCGTGTATGCATGTGAGTGTGCATGTGCGTGTCTGCATCTGTTTGTCTATATATACTCGGACTTCGATCCGGGATTTTCAGCGGAGCAGCGAGCAAAGCTAGGAAGCTGAAATTTTAGGAGAAATAGATATTCTGCCTGCGTGCGGTCCACAAACTTAAATTCAGTTTTCATGCATGCCTCGGTTTCGCGCACTGATAAATGAATGTTTTGGTGGGTGATGCCTAGCTGCGCTAGTAACACCAAGCCGCGCTTATGGAATCCTACATTGATATCCTGAGCAGCGCTGGTATTTTTATATATGCCTAGTTTTCATGTGCACACAGGTGAAATTTTTGGTGTGAAATTTCGGAACTTTTAATTTAGGTAGTTGTAAATAGTCATTTTCATCCTTTCATTAATAATTTAGTGACTTAATGACTTCATTAACAAAGATATTTTAGGTTGTTTCTTAGTCCGGTCTGTGTTTACAGTTAAGGGATGAAACAGAGGCTGCATCGTAAAATGTCTTTTTGTACATGACACTTAAGTCGAATCCTTCTACTTCGCTATTCTTAATTAATTATTCTTAATTACTATTCTTATTTTTTTTAATTACTATAACTATTCTTAATCACTGTTCTTAATTGTGACTGAAAACGCAGACAGTTCGTTCGCTTCTTAAGGCAAGAGCGTTCTGGATGTTTTTTCACGCTGTAGCTATGAGCATGCAAAGCCAGATTGCAACGACCATTTTTGCTGTTCATGTTTTTTGTAAGTGAGAAAAAGTAACGAAAAAAAATCCTACAAAGAATTATTAAGTACATTGTAGTGGCGTTCGTAGAAGGCGAAAAAACAGCAAAATGGTTGCAGTAAAATTAAACTCTTGTTTTTGATTTTTATAAAACTTATTTTAATAACGTCTAAAAGCCGCCGATCCTCCCCTCTTGTACTGCAGCCTTCTTCATAATCACCTTTGCTGGCAAACAGTTCTGGTAAATAGAAAGAGATGAACGAATTAGTGGAAATAATAATGAAGCAGTATACAGTTTTATGGCAAAATTTTAGAGGAGAATTTTTCGAGAAAAGTTTACGAGGGAAAGTGTAATTCGAAAATTCTGCGGAAGTGAAAATATTAATTTTGTAGAACAAATTCTGCGAAAAATAATTTCCTCGTATTAATTTTGTGTAAAAACTG